CCCAACAAAGCAGAACAGTGACCCCCTGTGGATTCTAGGAGAACATGTAAGCAAGGAATGGCATCATTCGAAAACAACTGTCCTACATACATAAGAAATGTGCAGATTGCAATAATTAAGACTCAGTGTGCACACACACACACACACACACACACACACACACACACACACACACACACACACACACACACACACACACACACACACCACACACACACACACACACACACACACACACACACACACACACACACACACACACACACACACACACACACAGATGATGTAATGTGCATTAGTCTAGTGTACTAGATGACATGTCCCAGGTGTGAAAGGATCCATGTTTGACTTGACATGCCGCTGGCAGGTGATTAGCAGAGAGTCGGACCTCGCTGCCCCCCATCAGACATTATTGCAGTGAAGGCTCCATCTCCATAATACATAATTAAAAGAGTCATATGAATGCCCTTCACATGTCTGCGGGCATTTTAAAAGACACAAAGAGCTGGAGTGCATAGATGGAAAAGCCTGATATTGTTTTCAGTCCACTCAGTTTGGTTGCAGTCACAAGGGAAAGTACATTCTGTAGCTTCTACAGCTAGGGCCAGACTCTCTCCACATAAGGTGGTGATGGAGCGGTGAGAGGTCTAATGATTCTGTCAATCACCACCTTGGCTGGTGTGTCAGAGCAAGTCTTCTTACATCCTGCCAGGGCTGTCAATCTGTCTGTCCGCCTCTGGTGATGATGAAGTATAATTGTGTGGTTCTTGAAACAATGTTAAGTACGGCAAGGCCTGTCTTTGTGTCTGACTGAACAGTTTTACAGAATATTTGCTCTCCATTATCTGCAGCATCAAAAGACCGGATAGTGTTTCCTGACTATGTGATTGCTGCATTATATTTATTTTTTAAATATGTCATGTCTTATAAATTGTTAAAACTGCTATAATAATAATAATAATGATCTGTATGCTTAAGAATATTAGATGTGTCTTCTTGTTACTTTTCAAAGGGTGAAAGTGTAATTTGCTCTTCATAAAGTAAATTATTTTTGTTACTAGGTTTGTAATTTTGGAGTCAAAAATAGAATTGACTTGATATGACCTGACATTTTGTCAACACTAATCATGTGTTTTTTTATAAACATTGTGATTTTACCTCAATAAGCTCAATAATATTGAACAAAGAGTGGCTTTGTAAAGCACTTTCTTCTCCTGTGGTTGACTAATTGAAGACTGGTGAGCTGCCTTTGTCTAGCTATCATTGAATGGTACACCATGAGGTAATGTACAGTAAATACAACAGCATGAAGGCGGGGAGTCCTTCAGATCGTAACAATGCTGAGGGCTTAGTGTAATAGACTGGTGATACAATATGTGACCTTTTCCTGCTTTTTTCATAGCACAGAAAGGTTGACTTGTACAGTTAATAAAAAAACTGCCAGGATTATTCTCTTGACAGCTCAGTGACATGGCAACAATCTGGACCCTGGACTGGATTACATGGTTACAAATGAATGTGAGAGGTTAAATGCTTTGATATAGGGTGCAATCTAAGCTCTGTAATGTAAGCTTAATGCCTCTTATCTCTGCTTTATTCCGTGGAGTTACTGCACGTCTACTCTTTGTGTACATCGCAGGTAACAGTGGAATGGAAATTCCCCAAACTTTGCATAACCTCTTTTCATGTCCCCTGCCGAGCTTCCGCTGTGTTACTGCAGCTGCATGACCTGATAAAGCCGGGAGAACAGTAGGTGGTTTGCAAGTGGTAAAGAGACAGAGACTATAACAGAGTGTGAGAGCCAGAACTAGAAAAGATGCCCGGAAACGAGAAAAATAGAAAGACATTAAATATGAAAGGCGGAGGCAAAAATAAACTATGACGTGACCAGAAAAAGCAGGAGGAGGAGGGGAAGATTAAGAGAGCAGTGATGGAGAGGGCAGAGAAGGAGAAACATGACAGCTGGCAGACGGAGAAGGCAGCACTGCTCTGCCCGGACCAGTCTCACCGCACCTTTAGAGGGCCAGATGGACCAACCTGCCACGTGTGCCCTTCACCAGCCGAGACGCACATATTCACATACTCATCCATATATATGCAGGAAAATACAAGTCAACAAACTAAATACATATTCTGTACCATCACCATAGCCATTTACCATCATTTAACAAGAGGTTTTAAACCAGTGTTATGCATTAAGGTTGGATAGTTGTAGGATTATCAAGTAAAGTCAAACTCTAAGGAGTGAACTACTAAACAACATTTTAAAAATTGGCAAAAGAATGTTTGTGTCATGATACCATTCAAACAAATGCATATCTATTCTTGAGGTTATTGCTTTTTCAAAATGGTCAACAGGTGTGTCTGCTGCTACAACCGAGTCACTCCCTTAGAATAGGACAGCATTGTAAAATGGTAAAAAAGAAAAGAGAAAGAAAAGCCGGTGTGATACAGGATCTCCCTCTAGTGTCAAAACCTGGCAACTACATTATACTGCACTTCAGCACCAAGGCAATGGACAGCTCTCTCCCAACAGATCTGGTAAAAGACAAGACAGGAGACTAGACTTTATTCTAAATGTAGGATTAAAACACCTAAAGATAACAATTCAAAATCTAAACGTCTTGTATAGGTTCAGAAATTCTCCCAATATTTGTTTTCATCCTCAGTTCTCAAGTAATTTAGTGGCAATCCTGCTAGAAAAACACCGGGCCAGTCCCCAAACACTATTGATTGATGTCTGGTTATAAAAAGACATCTATCATCTAGACAGTCTGAAATTAAAGCTGTCGTGGTCTGTGTGTCCATGCGCCTGTGTTTGTGTGTGTGTGTGTGCTCACTCTCCCTTGTGTGTGTGCATGTTTGTGTACTTTTAGGTGGTCGGGAGGCTGAGTGTTGATGTGGTATAGTATTATGAAACGATAAAATGTAGACGGCTGATTCATATCTGGACATAAAAGCCAGAGTTTTGTTAGGTTCCTCTTTAATGAAACCTATAATTTCTGCCTCCCTCTGTGGTGTTGCCATGGAGCAGAGGGATCGATCATAAAGAGAGATATCCAGAGCTGCTATTTTTGCAGGATTGTCATGGCAATGAGTGAGCCGAGTTACAACGTGAAAGATCATTTACACAGTAAAGAGTCAAATGTCAACTATATTTCAGTCACACGCTGCTACAAACATCCGTCATCCCTCTTGAAAACACATCAGGCTGAAAAATAGCTTGTTTATGGAAACACACACACACACAAATATACACACTGCAGCACAGTTTTGTCAAAGACCGATGTTATAGGCACAAAGGTTACAAATTCAATCACTTTAGAGATGGCTGCCACATCACTGCGTCTCCTTTCCTCCGTGTGTGTGTGAGTGTGTGTGTGTTGAAGTGTGCGTGCACCCATGCATGTATAGCCTCGCATGGTGTGGATTGAAAATGAATCTCTGGGTCGACAGAAAGCCGCTGTTAGAAATTCAAACAGGGTGGACTTGTCACATCGACAAAATGCATTTCTTTACAGGGAAGGACAGTCAAATAAAGAGAGGAAGAAGGCCAACGAGGGAAACTGTATTAAGCGAGACAGGTTACAGATTATACAGCAGAGGACTGTTGCGATGAGTCCTGTAAGATATTAAATATAATCATGAACTCAAATGGGAGAGGAGAGAAGGTCTACAGTGTCAACACATTCAACCAGAGAGTAACATCTGTTTTTGATCTGGTTTCACCCTCTGCTGCTAAACTCTCTCTCCCTTGACCTTAGCCTGGTCTGAGAAAGAGAGAGAGAGACACACACAGAAAAACTGTGTTATTGTGAAAACTTATGATTGATAAATAGAAATGAATAAATATGGTTGCTTGGAAAGACCCACCGGAACAGTGTTCTCTTTGTGTTTCCATACTTTTTTATTTACACATTCATCACTGACCTTTGACACACACTCTGGCTCTCTCTGCTGTTCCTGGTGATGATCATCTGCCTTTGTTTAGAGGCCTAAGTCAGTGAGCGAAGTATTGCCTGGCCTCTGATGTTTACTATGTGTGTGTGGTATGTGTGTATAGAATATAGACAGCCTCTTGACTTTATCCACAACCTTCTTGACCTGAGTACTGACCAGTCCGCTGCTCACTTCACCTGTAACTGAAGGCTGTTTTCTCTGCAGAGAGCGCACATGTTACTCCAGTTACTCACCACTTTGAATTCTCTTCACCCCTAACAGCCTTTTTCTGTATCAAAGCTTTTCTCTGTAGCAGATGTGTGGACAAGCACCACCTAAGTGTGCTCATTCACAGAACTCTCCAAGCTGTCTCTGAGATTTAACCTGCCTGTTGACTTCAGGCTCGGAGATTAGTAAAGAAGTGTGCACACACTTGCTATTCAGCCAGAAGGCGGCAGACCACGTCCGTATAGAATTATAATTATAATGACCAGTCGAGAAAATCCTGGGGATTTACTCTGGGCTGGTTAAATGAAGGGAAGAAGTGTTGAATAAGAATAGCTGTCCCACTGATTTCAATTCTCAATGTGCTGTTGCGCTGAGAAAACGTTTGTGTATGTCAAACCAAACCCTTGAATATTTACTCTGCTCCCAGAGAAGAGGATGCTTGTGAGTCTGCATACTGAGGGACTTAGCTGAGGGACTTAGCTGAGGGATATCGCCCCCTTCTGGAGATGAATGGGAACATACACACTGTAATATATTCTCCACATAAGACTGCACAATACTCTTAAGGCCCCAACTGTAACATTGTGTATATGTCGCAAACTTATATCACAAGTGTGTGCGAGCAAAGCCTTATAGAGTAAAAAAACAAAACTATATATATACAATATATACTGAGTATGAGAACATTTTCCCATAAGCAATGGTTTCTATTCAACTGAGACAATGCGACACACATCCTCAAACACACTGCCTCCTGAACACGGTCAGTCACAGCGCTGTCTGAAAGCCTCGAGTTTGTAATGTAAAATATGTTTGGCATATGTATGACTTAC